GAGAAAGTTGTGCCTATCCCAATCTACATACATATATACTGTCCTAAAGCGTTTCAACATGCATGATTCGAAGAAAGGGGATTTGCCCTTTCGGCATGGAATACCTCTATCTAAGAATATGTCTCCCAAGACTCCTCAAGAGATAGAGGACATGAAGGCAGTTCCTTATGTATCGGCAGTAGGAAGCCTCATGTATGCGATGTTGTGCACGCGACCTGATATTTGTTATGCAGTAGGCATGGTGGCTAGATATCAGAGTAATCCAAGGCCGGAACATTGGTCTGCGGTAAAGCATATATTCAAGTACCTGAGAAGGACTAAGGAGTATATGTTGATTTACCAGTCAAATGAATTGCTTCCGTTGGGTTACACCGATTCTGATTTCCAGGCAGACCGGGACGAAAGCAAGTCAACCTCAGGGTTTGTGTTTACTTTAGGAGGAGGAGCCATTGTAAGGAGGAGTGTCAAGCAGAAATGCGTGGCAGACTCAACCATGGAAGCTGAGTATGTAGCAGCATCAGAGGCAGCGAAAGAAGTTGTCAGGCTCAGGAATTTTCTCCTCGACCTTGACGTGGTGCCGAGTTTGTCCGCTGCGATTACAGTGTTCTGTGATAACAGTGGAGCAGTAGCAAATTCGAAGGAGCCACGAACTCATAAAGCGAGTAAACACATAGAGCGCAAGTACCACCTGATATGAGAAATCGTTGGACGAAGGGAAGTCGTTGTTGTCAAGATACAGACAGAGAACAACCTAGCAGATCCTTTTACGAAGAGCCTACCGGCGAAAGTCTTTTCAAGGCACGTAGAAGGAATGGGAGTCAGATGTTAGGGCGACATAGTAGACTAGCCTTTGAGAATTAGATTAAAAGAAAATTGTGGTTAGTGATAGCCATGAGCTTATTAAGCATAAGTGGGAGATTGTTAGATATGCTGTAAAAGCTTGACTTTCAGATATTAATAATACCATTTTGATCTGGCAATCGCGTTTTAGTCAAAGTACATATGCTTGCAGTATATTTATTTATGCAATCATACTCCTTGTCTTACATTGAGATAGTGTGGTTCGTGGTGTCTCGAACGGTAAGGTCACATATAAGTTCCTTGTAAGACTAAATCATTTGTTCACAGTCTAGACTGGCAGTGAGACCCCACTTGGAAAAAGACTCTAGTGTATTCTTGATTCAGTTGGCCTTTAACTGGAGAACTACACTAGTACTTATGTTAAGTATTGAACAAGACCACAGAAGGATAAGATTACGAGATCCACTGACCGTTGTTGTAATCTAGACCTTCTGTGATTGATGTGTTCTCTAAACCTGTAAGATAATATAAAATAGGCATATATATTTATTTCTTATTTATTTGATTTACCAAGGGTGATTCCTATTCTGTTATGATGACATACTCGGTATTTTGGTAAGTAAAAATATTTATATAGTGTGCTATTATAAATTATTTACAGTCACTGTGTCCCAGTGCGCTGAGTTGATGACGTCCCCGAAATGAGCTCAGGAAGGAATATTATGTTAAACCCTGCAGGTGGATGAGAATCCGACATAATGATTAAAGATATGAGTGGTACTAATTTCGGAAGTTAATAAACACGTTGATTAATTATTTTGTCAGTAATTTAATTAATCGACTGACGTTATATCTTAAACATTGAGAGTTAAATCGACCAGTCAGATTAATTAATATTAATCATATAGAGGTTTGATTTAATTGATTAAATTCCAAATAGGGAGAGCAATAATAGTATTCTAGTGGGATATATTATTATTTAATTTTATTAGGATTTTAGGAATTAATTTTATTCCTTATTTAATATTCCATGGGATGGGGAATATTCCTTCTAAAACATTACCTAGGGTTAGGAGACTAGAGAATCTTCTAGAAGGTGATGTTAGGAGAAAGGAATCATGACCTAGTTGGGATTAATAAGTGGAGTAGAATTAGGATTCCTTGGCCTAATGGGATAAGCCCATATTTGGCACCTCCTAGGGGTCCCTAATGAAGCCTATAAATACACCATGTCCCAACCTCTTGCACATGGCCTATGATACTCGATTGTTCCTTCTACACAAGAGAGAAAAATTATCTTGATTAAGTGTTTGGGAATTCAATTAATTGCTCCACCAAAATTAATTGAATTATGTGTTTATGTAATTCATTAGAAGGTTTTTAGGTGATATTTCTTCAAACCCAAAAGCTTCATAAATTCCGGTCATCCTCCCCAGCCGATCGCCGCCGTCCTCGCCGGAAAACTGCTACTGCCGCCGATCTCGACCGAGCCCTGCCCGAGCCCAGCCGCGCGCCGATCGCGATCCCCGCTCGCAACCGCGCACAGCCACTGCTCACGCCCAGGTCCCATCAGCGAGTTCCTGTGACGTCGTGACATTCGCTTGCTTCTGCCCAGCACGTCCCGCGACCGCATGACTCGCGAACGCCATCCCGCGCTCGTCCATGTTTCCTCGCGCGCCCAGGAGACTTGCAGCACACGCTCGCGTGACGCCCAGTCCCAGCACGCGTCTACCAGTTGCTCGAGCCCTTATCCGCGACGACCTAGGTCTCCTACCCAGCACGCGCACATGTCCCGCGACCATCTGTCGGCCCGCTCATCACGCCCTACGCGACCAGCCAGCGACACGCATCACACGGCCTGTCTGCGACCCGCGCCTGACCGCGACCCGCGCCTGTCCGTGACCAGCATCTGTCCGTGACCTGAACCGCTGCAACCTGACCCGACCCGAGACGTGATCCGAACCTGCCCAAGCCCGAGAAGTTCGTTCCGATAATCCGTTCGTGATTCAACACTCGACTAAAGTCGACAAAGGCCAAACTCTTCAACCGATTGAGTTATGGTAATCAGACGATCTCCATCAAAGGAAATCAGAAACGTCTTTGAGTCGGCAAAAATTTTAAAAGGTAATGTCCTAATCCTAACTATAGATTCCACTGCGTTAGGATTTATTTCGATAAGTTCAATACTGTGCATGTCGTTGACGATCCTCTTAGAACCCAACACAACTTGAGCCGCCGAATCGAGTGGTTTGGTCGGCGGCTCGAGACGATGGGTCGTCAGATTGTAGATCTGTCTGCGGAGATCGGGGACATACATCTAACTATCCGTACCATGGTTCGGGACAAGCAAACGAACCGCGACTTGGCCGGCCGGGGCGGTCACGAGGGATATCGCGGAAGTCGTTGCGGAAGAGGGCCTGGCGGGGCGCCCCGTCAGCGTACGCCACCACCGATGCACAGCGAGGATGATGGCGAATAGACGTTGGCGGAGGTCAACCCCTTCGGCTCCCGATAGGCGCAACAAGACGACGATCGGCGTTGGAAGTCATCGTTCCAAGTCGATATCTCCGACATTTTAGGGGCCTTTGTGGACGCACAAGGGTCGATCGAATATAAGGGTCCGCCTCGTTTTGATAACGAGGAGGGTCGACCGAATATACGGGTCCATATATTTTTGATGTCGAGGGGTCGATTGAGGGTCCCACCTGTTTTTGATGAGGAGCCACCTGTGGCGTCGATGGAGGATGAGTACCATGTGGTTGTACAATCATCTGTGAGGCCAGAGATTGTGCCTGGAATGAATGTTTTCAATGAATTGGAAGATGAATTTTCATGATATTTTATTCAACAAGCGAATGTGTCTGATTACTCGCATTGTGTGTTAAAAAAGGACAAAGTGCAGCAGACCATTTACTTTAGATCATTGAGTACGTGGGAATCTTTTGGGAGCTTGGAGAGTTGTTGTCATACATTTTTTGCTTGTGAGTATACCAAGTTTACGGCCCGTCAAATTGGCCCGGTCGAGATTGTGGAGTAGTTGAAGACGAGATTGCTTCAGATTCGAGGGCGAATCCTTTTCGACATGGAGAGAATAATGGAGATAAGGATGTTTAGAATCTTTAATTTAATTATTTATTTCCCTCTTTATTATTATGATTATTACTAGTATTATAAATTTGTTAGGAAACTTATTTATCTATTACTTTGTTAGGATTCTTGTCTTGTTGGACAGGGTAGTATTAGGGTCAGTTTTAGGTGTCTTATTTAAATGACTCTTCCTCTTTTGTGTTATTGAGTTGATTTTTGAATGAAAGAAGATTTGATTGATTTTATCGAGAGAGTATCTCGTTTATCCTTACTTACTCGTACGCTTCCCTATATTAAGTACATTTTTATATTCTATTCAATCACAACTTCAAATCTATCTCATTTTTTTTCATCTATTTTCGGATGACATAAGATTTATGAAAAAGATTTATATACAATAGCTATTTTTTATTTTATTTTATTATTCAGACAATTAATTTTGAAAATAACTTAGCCCCAACTCATGTTTTAGATCCGCCTCTATCGTCGATGTTGTAAAGCCACTTACGTTTTGTCAAACAATTAGCCTTTATTTTATTTTTATTCAAATCATACTTAGATAGTTGAATAGAAAAAATAAACAAATAGGGAAAAGGATGTTGAAAGGGATAAAAACCAGCAGCACGCATGTCCAAATGAAGACAAAATGTGCGTCTCATCTCATGTAGTAGAATAGAATTGAAAAAAATTCAGTAACTCCATTCAAACATAATATTACTTCTTTAGTGTATTCGTCGCTTTTGTCTCCATCGGACGACATGTATATCTTACCCTAAACCCAAAATCTGATTTTTCCATGATCAAATCTTTTCTTTAATTCTCACTTTTTCCCTGCCCGAATTTTCTCTCTTTCTTTCCAAACATTATATTATCATAAAGAAAAACTCGTCAAATAATAATTAAAAAGAAAAAAGAAATATAGCAACGAAAGCGCACATGCTGATCAAATTAAAACCTACGACTTACCATCTTTATTATTAATAATTTTTTTTGCCTAAACAACCAAGAAGTTATATACTAAAGTGAAAGAAACCATTCCCTCCGTTATTCGATCGACTAACTAATTAGGTATTGATAGAAAAAAAAAATAAAAAAAAAAGTTTTTGGAAGGCATGGATAAAGGCGGCGGGTATTCTGGCAATAACCCGGCGGCGTTTTATTCAAGGATGATGGGGCCCACCACCACCAACAACAACCATGCACAAGATAACAACCACCACACAGCTGCTGTCTTGCCGCCGGCCAGTCAAGAAGGTCGTCCCGAAGATCAAGGTATGGTATACTTCACCTTAATTGCTCCGATCGGTCAAACTCTCTAAGTCTAACAACCTTCTTTCCGTTGTTTCCTTCTTTGTTTTTTCTTAATATCTCTACTATGTATATATATATATAGAATTTGGATCATATGAGAAAGGGAGTTGGTGTAAGAAATAAGAAAGAATCTGGACCATTAGATATATCATATAAATGGTCCTGATCAAGTCAACCTTTAATAAATAATGGTCAATCATTAATGGCAATGTGGTAAATAATTAGACATATGATGGTCAAATGTATAGATTTTACCACTAATTATGGGTAATTTAGACAATTGAATCAAACACACAATGGGACCCACCACCTCACATATTAACCCACCCCTCCATCTACCCCGTCAATCACCTTCTTCACACACACACACAATTCTTCACACACACACACACAATTCTTCACACACACACGCAGATCCGACCAATCGTCTCCTCAGAGGCGGAGCTCCGCCGCCGCGTTGCTGCAATCTGCCGCATCGCCTCTGCAGCCCATCGCCGGAGATGGATGCGAGGATGCTCCGGCGAAAACCAGCCATCGTCTGTGTAGGTCCGCCGCCCGTCGCTGCGTCGCAGATGCAGCCATACCGTTCGCCGCCGACGGAGTCCGCTCGTGCCCCTAACAATTAAATCCACCATCGCCGACACAAGTCCTCCGCCACGACCGACACCAGTCGGTGAAGATGGAGACGGTGACGGCAATAACGGACCAATTGTTGTATTTTTTGTTGCGGCTGTTGTTGTCTGGTGTTGTTGACCTCGAGGGCGGCGATGTGGTTTTAGAAGTGCTGGCGGCGGAGGGGGTGGCCTGACGGGGACTCCGGCGGACATGGAGTTGACAATGGTGAGAATTGGAGGATTTTTAGGGTTTGTCATTTGGGGATTATTCTGCTCTTGTCCGGCGGGTCATGAATGGCGGCTGGTGGTGGTTGCCCTCGTCGTGGATGTTGTCGGGATGACAAGCTGGTGGCGGCAGGGGGCGGCGCGACGGTGGTCCGACGATCGGGAATCTGGCAGTGTGCTTGAGGGATTTGTTGGGTTTGCTTTTGTAAATTAGACAATGCATAAGGGCCTTTGTGCAATTTTTAAAAATTTAATATATGTTTATAATATTGTCCACATTAAATCTGAAAATCATTTAAAAAAACAATAAATGCACAATAATGGAACATAGAATGCACACTAATGTGTTCGCATGTGCACATTAAAAAATGTCTACTGAAAATTTTAATTTGGTTGAGTTTGGTTTATAATGTGCAATCAATTAGTCATTAAAGTGCATTCCATTTGACGTAATTGTGCAATCGCAAAATATAAAAATACAATAATAATAGCAATAATAATATTTTTATATAGCTCGTTCGTTTAGTTATTTCGGTTAAAAAAAAACTGACATCAAACAAAAAGTTTAATTCATACAGAATAAAATGAAATTAAATGCACTATACTGCATTTAAATATGCACATTAAAAAACATGTTATATTATTTTGAACTTTTTCGACTAGTATTATTGTGTACTCACATTGTAAGTATTTTACATTATTCATCCCAAACAAAACTAATTTTGAACCAAAATAATAGCTTTATTTGATCAGTACACTGAAGTACCCTAAAAAATTGAAACGATTTATTATGTATATTATAAATATACATTTAGTATTTTAATAATTATATTTGATATTTTATATTTTTGTGGTTAAAAATACCTAATATATAAAAT